CTTTATAGTTGCCTTAGCAGAACGAACTCCATGGCCAAGTCAAATTTTATGCGTATCGCCATAGTCTTTTCAGCCACACAGATGATGGTGAGGACACTCCATGCGAAAGGGAGTAGACAGGCAATGGAGAGGAGCAACCAGAGGTAGCTGATGATGCTGATGTCGCCGAAGACGCCTGCGAAGCCATGTCGAGATAAGAAACCTCTTTGAATAAATCACGCGCTAGCGCTCTTCTACAAAAATTTCTTCCGAAAAAATACTTTCGGCAAAGGAGCTTTTTCCAAACAAACATGCTGAATCTTCGAGTGCATTTTTGACCTCGCTCCCGCGTGCCAAATCCTTTGCCAAGTTTCGGAATGCAAAACCTCACTAGTATGTAGTAAGACATTAGGTACACTTTGATGTACACTGTCACAAGATACTTTACGCATACTCAGTACTCGTACATTCACATGCATGCAATTGCATGTGCACAGAAAGACAAAAACAAATCCGCCGGCACTCACAATTTCGGTCGGTTACCTGGAACAAAGGACTTTTCCGATGTGACTAATATCACGAGTAATATGATTGTATAGATTATAACAAGACCTACTCTTCCAGATCTGCCGGTATTCTCTACCATTCATGATTCATGCCTTTCTAGTGTCACATGATACTGCTCTGTTTGATTTGCTTTGTATTCTATTGTATTGTATTGTTGATGGCACACAACAGGTATGGCTATCATGTAGCCAACACTTCCTATTTCATCTGCCATAGTGCAGAGACTATCGCGCGGATATTCAACCGTCTCCGTGCTGATGCTGAGGTATGCGTTGCTTACAGATACTACTGAAGTAGAATTACTAGTACGGGGTGATTGCGAATCATTGCTTACAGAACTGTAGGAAACAGTTAAAGGGGAAGTATACCCTAAAATCAAATTTTCACCAGTTGTAGTCTTCTGGGTGCTGAGTCGAATGGTCTTGGTCCGAGGAAGCTGCGACGCTCCCTTCCTACATGTCAGGGGTAGGCGTATCATTATGGACAGGCTAATTAACAGTGCTGTTTCGCATTGAATTCCATCGGCATTTATCATGTGCCACCTTCCGAAGCTGGGCTAGGCCAGGTCGCGACAGAAGCACAAGCCCCAGCTTCTCCCGACAATCCAGTGAGAGAGTGGTCAGCAGTGTTGTTCTTGGTCTGCCTCTCCTTCCAAGCTGGGGATAGGCAATCTGATAATGATGCTCGTCTCGTAATGTACGTGGTGTACAACTGGTGCCACTGCTGTTGCTGCTGCTGCCGCCACTGCTGTTGCCTCTGCTGTTGCTTCTGTTGTTGCTATTGCTGGTGGTTTGTCATCTGACAGCCACTCTTTTCAGTTGCTGCTCACTCTGCGCTGATTTTTTGAAAATTGCTTTATTGATAATGTAAAATAATAGGCGTTTCTGCACACACCCGCAGCCACGCTCACTCTCACGCTCACTCCCACTCTCTACCTCACCTGATTCACTGCCAGAATTCCACTGAGTGTCCACGTGTTCATGCGTGTGCTCGTGTGTCTGTGGCATGCATGTGGCGTATGAATGTGTGGGCGTATGGCTGTGTGGGTGTGTGGATGTGTGGGCATGCGGATGTGTGGGCGTATGGATGTGTGGGTGTATGGATGTGTGGGCGTATGGCTGTGTGGGTGTGTGGATGTGTGGGCATGCGGATGTGTGGGTGTGTGGATGTGTGGGCGTATGGCTGTGTGGGTGTGTGGATGTGTGGGCATGCGGATGTGTGGGTGTGTGGATGTGTGGGCGTATGGCTGTGTGGGTGTATGAATGTGTGGGCGTATGGCTGTGTGGGTGTATGGATGTGTGGGCATGCGGATGTGTGGGTGTGTGGATGTGTGGGCGTATGGCTGTGTGGGTGTATGAATGTGTGGGTGTATGGATGTGTGGGTGTATGAATGTGTGGGTGTGTGGATGTGTGGGCATGCGGATGTGCGGATGTGTGGGTGTATGGATGTGTGGGCGTATGGCTGTGTGGGTGTATGGATGTGTGGGCGTATGGATGTGTGGGTGTATGGCTGTGTGGATGTGTGGGTGTGTGGATGTGTGGGCATGTGTGGGCATGCGGATATGTGGTTGTTACAGTATCCCACACGCTGCGGTGACTTTGCAATCAAGGGAGTGCGTGACCTAACTACTGGTTTTGACAGTAATCAAGCAGACAATAAAGCCGTAAGTACAGTACTAACAAGTTATCACTATTCGGTGTTCTCTATTCTCTATTCTCTATTCACCTGCTCTACGTCTGACCCGGGGGGGGGGGGGGGGGAAGTACTTGGGGAGTGGTCAGGAGTGGTCAGGAGTGGTCGGGAGTGGTCAGGCTGATATTGTCGAGGACGCTAGCTTTGTAGCCCATCTCTCCCCATCCCCATCTCTCCCCATCCCCATCTCTCCCCATCCCCATCTCTCCCCATCCCCATCTCTCCATCATCCCCATCTCTCCATCATCCCCATATCTCCCCATCCCCATCTCTCCATCATCCCCATATCTCCCCATCCCCATCTCTCCCCATCCCCATCTCTCCCCATCCCCATCTCTCCCCATCCCCATCTCTCCCCATCCCCATCTCTCCCCATCCCCATCTCTCCCCATCCCCATCTCTCCCCATCCCCATCTCTCCATCATCCCCATCTCTCCATCATCCCCATCTCTCCATCATCCCCATCTCTCCCCATCCCCATATCTCCCCATCCCCATCTCTCCCCATCCCCATCTCTCCCCATCCCCATCTCTCCATCATCCCCATCTCTCCATCATCCCCATCTCTCCATCATCCCCATCTCTCCCCATCCCCATATCTCCCCATCCCCATCTCTCCATCATCCCCATCTCTCCCCATCCCCATCCCTCCATCATCCCCATCTCTCCATCATCCCCATCTCTCACTCCATCATCCCCATCTCTTCCCTGCCTGACGATACATGTACATGTACCGAAAATTAAGAGAATACAGTCAGATCTTGAGCATATTCGCCCCCAGATGCAGCAGACACCAACAAACTCCCTAGGCGCTGCCGGTGTAACGTTATCTGGTCGCCAGGCTGGTTGAGTCTCTGCCGAATACAACAAGTAACTGCTAAATCAATCAACTGGTAGTACTCAGCACGGAAGTAGCCCTGCACGTCAGAATGGAATGTGCCCTCTCCCTCACCAATCTCATATCTCCGTTGAACCTTCCTCTTCCTTGGCAACTTGGCAAGACGCCTCATCTCCTTGTAGCTTGTCCTACCAGTGATGTTTGCCGACATCATGACAAAGGACTCTTTATCTCTCAGATACCAGTGATGTTTGTCCACATCATGACAAAGGGCTCTTTATCTCTCAGATACCAGTGATGTTTGCCGACATCATGGCAAAGGACTCTTTATCTCTCAGATACCAGTGATGTTTGCCGACATCATGGCAAAGGACTCTTTATCTCTCAGATACCAGTGATGTTTGCCGACATCATGGCAAAGGACTCTTTATCTCTCAGACACTTGAGAGTGGTGCAAGTCAGGATTAACAGATTAACAGCACTGACCAAAGGGGACTGACTGTAATGTCTTGCTCAAGTTGCCAGTGTGGCCAAGGACACATGCTGCAACACCAAGACTAAACGGGTAGTCTAATCTAGACCTTATTGCCTTCACTACGGTGCTGTGTGAACCATTGTCAGCGCCAGCTGTGATATCTCTTGCCTCGTCCCAGAACATGTGCAATCCTGTGTGATTGTCCACGGCACTCTGGAGGGATGCAGCTCTCACTGTCCAGGGAGTAGGGCATAGTGTGTGGAAACCAGTGGCCAGGAGAATGGCCTCCTTCAGCGCTTCAAAAACACTATCTCTGCGAGGAGAATACTTTAATATTTCACCCACGGTGTCGAGAACACGGTGTCGAGAACACGGTGTCAAGAACATCATGCACTGTTTTCACTTGTTTTACACCATCACTGATAAAGTGGTACATCACTGATAAAGTGGTACATCACTGATAAAGTGGTACATCACTGATAAAGTGGTACATCACTGATAAAGTGGTACATCACTGATAAAGTGGTACATCACTGATAAAGTGGTACATCACTGATAAAGTGGTACATCACTGATAAAGTGGTACATCACTGATAAAGTGGTACATCACTGATAGCCAAGTCCACAGCATGGCTATAGCAGGGTGTGAAAACACAGCACGCTCCTGCTCTGTGCATATCTGCGTTTCAAGTCCACTTTGCGACCCAGCCATGCTTGCTGCGCCATCATAGCATTAACCCATGTTGTTGTGCTGATCACAGTTCAGACAGAGGACAGAGGACACTATCCTTTAGCACAGCTACCAAAGTATCAGACTTGATACCCGCTGCTTTGTGCAGGTCTACGAGATCATCATGGGGTTCAAAATTATCATCAACCCAGCGGAAGCAAATGATAACCTGCTCTCTGTTGGAAGCATGTGGCACCTCGTCAGCTATAATTTTTTTTTTTTTTTTTTGTTTGTTTATTTAGAGTCGAAGAACAAACAGGCAAATTTGCCTAATTACATGATATCGACTAAAAAGGAGAATAAATTATAAAAGGCCAATGAAGGTAATGACACTGAGTAGAGTGGGTAGTAAAGTATTACTTTGTTAAAGCCAGTTAGGCCAGTAAAGGAAATAATAGTACAGCGGGCAGTGGCATTACTGAAAAGCAGCATGTGCTGGGAGGGATCGCATGAATCAGTGGTACTGTTGGATTTTCCTGATGTCGGGCTGGAGCCTGTTCCACAGTGATACACATTGGAATGAGGCAGAATGTGTGCCAGCGGATGTCTTAGTGACTGGAAATTTAAGTGCTCGATTTCCCTGACTACGTGTAGCACGGCCGGCATTAAGAGGACTGAACATATCGGTAAGCAATGTGCTGCATTTACCCTGAAGGGAGCGCCAAGTGTAGCCAAGCAGCTTGTGGCAGTACATAACTTCTAGCGAGTGCAATCGCAATTGGCAATACAGCGGCGCAGATGGTGATGCAAATGGAGCGTTGTAAACACAGCGGACTGCGCGCTTGAGTAGCCGCTCTAGGCGCTCGAGCTGATGTGAGGTGCGGCCAGCAGAGAAGCAGTTGCTAGCATACAGGAAGTCAGGAAGGATCAGGGACTTCAGGTATGTGATGCGGCACGGGAGAGGCATGCAGCGCCTGTTTCTAAACAGGACAGCTATTTTACAGGCAGCTCGCTTGGCGATCTGGTTGACCATTGTGGTCCACTTTAGATCTTGGTCCATGTGGACACCAAGATACTTTGCGGATTCTACTTGTGCCAGTTGAACTCCAGAGCACATAACGCTGACACGAGAATTCACAGAACGATGGGCAGGGATGAACAAAATCTGGGTTTTACTCTCGTCGATACGATAATAGTGAAGTACTTTGCTTCACGTATGGTAGTGGCAATGTCATGAGCGACTGCCAGGGCCATGGTCTGAAGCAGTTCGGTCTGCATTGACTCAGCTGTGTATTTATCACGCGTCCTGCTCAGCAAACTCTGAATGGAGTCATCATCCTTACCTCTCAGGAGCAAGAGCTGGTAGAAATTACTATCCGCTTCAGCCCTGGCATTGCGGGGCAGTGTCTATCCGCTTCAGTCCTGGCATTGCGGGGTAGTGTCTATCCGCTTCAGTCCTGGCATTGCGAGGCAGTGTCTACACTAGTATTTGTTCTGCTTATTCTATTGCCTGACTGTATATGATGATACCTGTGTCCATG